GGGGAATTTGTTTAGTCATGGGTTGGTAAAGTTGATGAGGACAAGATACCATTTTATAATTATTTTCTTATTCCGATGACAGTGCGTACTAATTATATTTCTTATATGGTCCCTTGATAATTACTTGTTGGTTTGGTTTGAGGTCATGGATATAGATTTGAGCTTGCTTTGATTATTGGATACTAATAATGGTTACCGAAAAAGAGAAACGGCTGATTTGGATGTTACTTCTGATTGTCTAAATTGCTAAGAAATTCTAGTAAGAAAACCATGTAAAAATTTACTATTCTGCAGAAAAGAAGAAAAAAAAATTGCAAATGTCATTATTTGTCACCTTTGTCCTGATTAATTGTATTGTAGGGGATGACTGTTTTCACCAAATCTGTGGTTGTTCTATTCAAATCAGATATATTCGAGTTCATAACGTGATGCGATGATTATTGCAGGATTACACTGGCGAGAATGTAACGGCAAAAAACTTGTATGCAGTTCTTCTTGGTGACAAAAAAGCTGTTAAAGGTGGAAGTGGGAAGGTTGTGAATAGCAAAGCCAACGACAGGATCTTCTTGTACTACTCTGATCATGGAGGCCCAGGAGTGCTAGGTAATTATTCATTTGATTTTCCTTTTCTTTTCTTTTCTTTTCTTTTCTTTTTCGGGTTTAGCGGCCAATATGAGTTTTTGTGTATGCAAACAAAGTCTCTCTTCAATTTGATGACAATGTCATCCATGTGAGAAGACTAGTGGCTGAAAATATTCGCAGCCGATGCCCAGAATAATTGAATTTTGCATCTGACCTACAAGTCACTCTCGTTGAACCCACCCTTGGCTTAAAAAAAAATATATAATTGAACTTCATTTGGCTACTTTAGAAAAAATCTTTAGTGATTCCATCCAACTTTAATGATGACAAGCCCTTTTCAAAAGGAAATTACTTTGGGATTGTGGGTGTGAATTGTGGAGTGTTGATTAGTCTTCCATGTCATGTGTAGGGATGCCCAACATGCCATACCTTTACGCCATGGATTTTATTGAGGTTTTGAAGAAGAAACATGCTTCAGGCACTTACAAGAAGATGGTAATTCATCATACTTGATTGCTTATGAGGGTACATAATAAAAGCAGAATTAATACGGTAATTAGGAAGAATTTGATGGTGATACAATCGAGCAGGTTATATACGTAGAAGCTTGCGAGAGTGGGAGTATTTTTGAAGGCATAATGCCGACAGATATAAATATATATGTAACCACAGCATCAAATGCTCAAGAGAGTAGCTATGGCACATATTGTCCTGGAATGGATCCTCCTCCGCCTCCAGAGTACATCACTTGCTTGGGAGATTTGTATAGTGTTGCTTGGATGGAGGACAGGTATCTTCATGTTGTTCCTTTTCCATACTTGATTTCTGCTTCATTGATTATCATGTTGACTTGTGCTCATTTTCTGCAGTGAAACTCACAATTTGAAGAAAGAAACTGTAAAGCAACAATATCGAGCGGTATGATCATATGCTAAGTCAAAACTTAATTGGGAATTAGATACTAAATCTGTCTTGATTAGTTCCTGAGTTAGGTGTTGGTAGTGCAGGTAAAAGCTCGAACATCGAATTATAATACTTACAGTGTTGGATCCCATGTGATGGAATATGGAAATAAAACTCTCAAAGGAGAGAAGCTTTATTTATATCAAGGCTTTGATCCTGCCAGTCTCAACTTTCCCCCAAACCATTTGAGTCTACCCATGGGAGTTATTAACCAAAGAGACGCTGATCTTCTCTTCTTATGGCATATGGTATAGATCTACCTTCTTTCTTCTTTTTCACATTTCTCTCAGTTACGTTCTCAGTCTAAAATTTTTAATTGATTATTGCATTGCATGAGACTGGACATGCCCATTTTGAATTGGTTAATTATATGTGAAATCGCAGTATAAAAATTCAGATAACAAGGCAGAGATTCTGAAGGAGATTATAGAGATAATAAGGCACAGAAAGCATATAGATGGGAGCATTGAGTTAATTGGGTCTATTTTGTACGGACCAACAAAGGCTTCTTCAACCCTTACTTCTGTTAGAGCTCCCGGTTTACCCTTGGTTGATGACTGGCAATGCCTAAAATCGACGGTAACATGCTGTTTTTCATTATGTTATTTGGTTATCTTTAGCTGTATTATTGACTTTCGATTTGGTTGTAGGTTCGGACATTTGAAACGTATTGTGGGTCACTGACTCAATATGGCATGAAACACATGCGAGCATTTGCAAATATTTGCAACAGCGGAGTTCCTCAGGCATCGGTGGAGGAAGCTTGTGCTGCTGCCTGTAGGGGTTATGAGCTGAGTCAATGGCACCCCGTGAACAAAGATTATAGTGCTTGAGTCAAACCAATATATTATTGATGTGACAACTTAGTAACATTATGCATATTACAGTACTACTTTTTTCTTCTCTCCTGGTGTGTTCTCTTTTACTTTTCATTTTTGTTTTTTTTTTTTCGGTGGTTTAGGATACATATAGCAAGAAGAATGTATCAGGTTGATATAGTCTTTTAATAGAAATGGTATGGTTGGACATTTGTGTTTTTTTTTTCTTTCTTTGGTTCTACGAAAACAGGGAAACATGGACTGGTCCATTAGAATCCCAAGTACTATTTTTTGTTTTTTAAAAATGTTGAGAAAAAATTATTTAATATCAAACACTCAAATATGTAGAGAAAAATATTCGAAGAAAAAGGTACAAATTTTTGGCAGGTGGGATCGAAGTTTCTATCAAATGAGTTGTTAAATCGTGGATGTTAGTGGGGAATCTCTAAAAATACATTACAAGACAATCAGTGATTTGGTTATTGCACATATTTCCAACTCCATTCTACGGCCTGAATCAAATCTCTCCCGGTTACCGTACAAGCAATATTTGTTAAAAATGCAAAAATATAAAATTTAAGATAATTAAAAAGATATATTAAAAATATATATATATTATATTTAATCTGAATGAAATATTATAAGATAATATAAAAAATTTCTATTATAAGTAATTATCTATTTATTTATTTAATTATTATTAAAATTTGTCATCTAATTTTAATTTTTTATTATTTTGTTTTAATTTAAGATAGTTTATTATTTTTTTAACTAATAATTTAATAAAATAAATTAATTCTAACAATTTATTCATATAATTTATTCGACATGCCAATCATATTTTGGTTGTATATGAATTTTTTTTTTGTCAACACTGTTGTGAAAATATCAGTCAACTACTGTTCTACAAAAGCTGAATTGTATCTCTTGGTGCTCGACTGCTTCTTGAATGTAATGATACTTGATAGTATTATGTTTGGTTCTATCATAACTAACTCGATTTTTATTAATTACAATTGTTGTTGTATTGTCACAGAATTTTATTGTTGATTCTTCTTACTTTTCAATGATGTCTTCTAAAATCCATTTTAACCAAACTGCTTGTGTGACAGCACGATCTGCTACAATGTATTCAGCTTCAGCTAATGATAATACCACTACACTCTACTTCTTTGGCAACTATAACAAAGACCAGATCTGAGTGAAAAAATATATCTTGATGTACTTCTCATGTCATCAACACATCTGACCCAATCACTATCTATATAGTCGATCAATTTTGAATTTTCTATTGGTCTATACCATATTTCATAATCTATTGTATTTTTAATATATCTGAGCACTCTTTTTACAACTGTGAAGTTTAATTGACACGGGTTGTAGGCTAACAACAAACATGATGTTTGATCGTGTTGCAGTCAGATATAACAAACTTCCAACTAAACTCTTGTAGGTGGTTTCATCTGTCATCTTTACTCCATCTTTTTTTAGCTTTTTATTGGCCATTAGGGGTGTTGTAACTGATTTGCAATCTTACATATTAAATTTTTTCAAAATATTTTCTGCATATTTTTTCTGTGATATAAAGACGTCTATATAACCTTAGCATACTTCTATACCTAGAAAATAATGCAGCAAGCCAAGATTATTCATCTCATATGTCTCCATCATATTTTTTTTGAATTCTCAAAGCATTGTTTCATTATTGCATGTGTAAATTAAATCATCAACATAGAATGAGACAATTAAAATATCAGTACCTATTTTCTTGACATAAAAAATCGGCTCACTCTTGCTTTTTTGAAATTCTTTTTGCGTGAAGTACTTGTTTATCTCACCATATCATGCTCTTGGTGCTTGCTTTAGGCCGTATAGTGCTTTCTTTAGCTTGTATACTTTGTTCTCTCCCCTTCAACTAAAAATCCTTTTATATGTTCGACATAAATTTCTTCGTCAAGACAACCATTCAAAAAGGCTGATTTGACATCAAGTTGATATAATTGCCAACCTTTTTGAGCTATCAGAGCAATAATAGTTCTAATTACTTCTAGTCTTGCTGTAGGAGCAAAAGTCTCATAATAGTCAATACCATACTTTTGCTTAAAGTCTTTTGCCACGAGTCTTGTTTTATATTTCTAAACTGATCAATTTGGCTTCAATTTTATCTTATAAATCCAATTATGTAATATCTCGAACCCCAATATCGGTTGGTACGGACGTTAGCACAATATTTCCAACTAGTGGAACAAATAAATATTAAATATGTAGCGGAACTATACTTTAATACACATATTTTGTAACCGCATAATTATTTGTTTACACATAATTGAGGCATCTAAATTAATTTACAATATTAAAATAAAACTAATAAAATTTTCTTCGTCATCTTCCTTTGATGGAATATCCAAATTAATTTTAATGTAATTTAAATTAATTTATGAATATAATTTTTTTAATTTTTTATTTTAATTTAATGTAAAAATAAAAGAAAATAAGTGAAGTATGAAATTGAAAATAATTTTGGAAAAAAAATGGGTGAAAATTTGGGTTCTGGAGGTATTTTTAAAAGAAAAATCGAAAACTGGGGATCAAAACGCAATTTAAAAAAATTGTGCTACGTAGGATGCCCAGTCAGCAGCCCCGACGAACCAGAACGCGCCGCGTGGCAAGAGATGCTAACGTGGTGCCATATGGGAGACCACAAAGGCGATCCACATGCCCGCGATCAGAAGGCCCAGATTCGCTCCTGCGCGCACCGACGGTCCGAATGCGTTCTCTCTCCAAACGCAATTGGACGGTCAGATTTAAACACGATCAACGGTCCAGATTCACTCCATATTTAATCGCGATCGAACGGTCCAGATTAAACACGATAGACAGCCCAAATTAAAATGGGACGAATATAAATAATTTTCTTCACACCAAACCTTAATCCTAGCTGTCAGACACCCTCGCTGGAGAAGAAGACCCAGCCGCCGGGAAGGGAAGCCGCCGACACCCCCCCGCCGCGCCGAAGCCACTTCCAACTGCCAAAAGAAGTAAACATTTCCCTCTTTGCTTGGAATTCAATTGTAAATACATCCATAGCCAAATCGGAGTAAAAGAACCGGCAGATTGGCTGAAAACCGCAGGTAAAGTCCGACGCGGCCGCCGTAAAAAATTATAAAAATAGCCTCCAATAAGGCCCTTCCCGATTCCCGTTTTGCGTAATTCTTCCACTATTGTAATCACAGTTTCCTTCTATTATTTGATTTCTTACATATGTCACACTACATATTTGAACTCGAACCTACTTCTCTTTAAGTTTGGTTTTACTGCTTCTGCATATTCTGTTCGTCTTTTTTCTAATAATTTCTTAGATTTTTCAAAGAAGTTTGAGTTTTAAAACTAGTGCTAAAAGCACTTTCAACATAGTTGCTCCCACTCTGCAATTTTCTTGTCTCGCGCGACTTTAACGAACTCATCAATTGCTGAATTGTAAGAATAGACAAATCTTTCAAATCTTCAATTACTGCAACAAAATATTCATATTTTCTAGGTAAGCTAATTAAAAGTTTTTCTATTATCTTTTAATCAACAATTTTTTCATCATAATTTCGCATCTGGTTCACGATCTCGATCACGTTCGAGAAATACTCCTTTATTTTTTCGAATTCCTTCATCTGTAAAATTTAAAGTTGTTTGTGCAAGGTCTGTAACTTTACGGCAATCACCTTTGCAGATCCCTGAAACTCTTTTTGCAATATATCTCATGTTTCTTTCGATCTAATTACACCAATTATCCGAGAGAACATACTCTCTGCAACACCTTGTTGTATAAGAAACAAGGCTCTCACATCCTTCATCTGATCTTCCTCCAACTTCTTTGTTTCTACTGGTGCTAGTTAATGTCCGTCCATAAACAAATTGAGAATAGTCATTCTCAACTATATCCCACAACCTTTGTGATCATAGCAACGTTCGAATTTTTATCTTCCATACATCATAATTTTCACCAAAAATGGAAACCATTGTCTGCACCATACTTACACCAACACCTGAAGCCATCAATTAAAAATGTTTCTTCTTTCACGAACGTAAATTCACTAATTCGTTAACGTCCATCCTTGAACCAAGTTTTGATACCAATTGTTGAAAATAAACTGAAGATAAAAAGGTTTTACTTATGCAAAAATATAAAATTTAAGATAATTAGAGAGATATATTGAAAATAGAAAATATATTGTATTCAATCTAAATGGGATGCTATTATAAAACAATACACAGCCTATATAGGCAGCAAAAAACCTTTATTAATTTTTCTATTGGTAACTATCCATTTATTTATTTAATGACTATTAAATTCTGTTATTTTACTTTAATTTAAATTTTTTTGTGATAGACAATTTATTTTTTTAACTAATAATTTAATAAAAATATTGTCATTATTCTAATTCTAAGCAAAAAAATCAGACTTTGATCACTCAACGAACGCAAGTTTTATCAAGTTATCAGGTCTTTTAGTCTGGTAAAGATCTAGTCCGGTATTTTTGTGAGACAATTTATTTTTATAGCATTATAAGATGTATAGATTAATAAAGTAATGAGAACTCATTACCATTTTATTCCATTCTTGTTTGATTCTACGGACAAAACTCAAAAGACACTATTAATTTAAAAAACTTTGTCAAGGTTGAAGCTGTTGACAAAGTTGGTGGCATCTGGGTTTTCAATGTAAATAGAAGGTTAAATTCAAGATCTTCTGAATAAATGGATAGATTATCACATTAAATTCATTTTGGACGATGGCACCAACTTTCTTGCAGTGGTTTATGCCAATCCGCAGGAACTGGAGAGGCATATTTTGTATGGGAAAAATTGATTCTATCGTCTGATTCTACATAATTACTTATTGAAATTCTAATGCTACCAGGAGGTATACGTGTTTGTCGGTAAATTAATCAGGTCATAATTTCACTTGCGTGATTTATGTTCTAATCCAAGTGCAAATGTGTGTGAAAATGATACTATGCTATTGTGGTAGAAAGCAAACACAGGCCACAAGGAATAACAAGACTCAGTCGATTGGTTGAGGCCATCAAGTTTACAAGAATTACCCTACTAATGCCATATGGGCACCAATGCACAATGTCCTTACTAAAACTCTTTAGGATTCCTTACCGTGATGAGATGAGATATAAGGATAGCCATGAAGGAATAACTCCAAAATTGTTTGAGAAATGACAACAATGAGTAGTCATGATCCATTTCTATGCCAAACTAGACCATAGTTAAAGCTCCAACCAGCTCAAGGATACAAAACAACTCCAACACAAAAAGAAATTACTTGCCTTATCTACAGCACAATTCCATTCAATTTATCCTGCCACACACCTTCAACCACAAGTAATAAATACTCATTCATATTCTTCACCCATAGTTAAAGCTCCAACCAGCTCAAGGATACAAAACAACTCCCAACACAAAAAGAAATTACTTGCCTTATCTACAGCACAATTCCATTCAATTTATCCTGCCACACACCTTCAACCACAAGTAATAAATATTGTTATTCACATATATTGACCAAAAAACCTATATCTCAAACAGATTACACGAACGTAACTTTTACCCAACAAGGTCAGAGTCCTCATTCCCAAACTCAATATAGCCCTAATATTTTAATCCTAGCATCTCAACTGACAATTTGGAAGAGAGACAAAATATGGAAACAAGAGGCACTCAAAATCCTCAAAGTATCCCTCCTCCTCCCTCTCTTCCCCAGATGATTTATCAGAGGGACAGGAAATATGTGATCGAATTTCAACTAAAGTGAAAACATCAACACTGAACCGAGCCCATCCACATTTCCAACAGCCATATTCATGTTTCGAGCATGCCAAAAAGTTCTAACACAGCGTTACCCCATTAAGAACTTTCAAATTTTAAATATTACCTTGAAGCCCTGCCCATTTAAACGTTCCAATTTCAAAGAGACATCCTAGAAGAAATATGAACTCATTATCTTAAATTATACCGCCTCTACTTTTATCTCTACCTTGTCCTTCGCTGAATTTTTAAAGTATATAGGAATTAAGTGAAAAAGAAAAAAGCCAAAAGATAGAGTCGAAGTATTTCACACCCTGAACCAAAGGCTTACATATATCATCTAACAATCAAACCCTGTGGAAATACTATGATTGTATCCATTATAAAAAAGGAAGTTAGAGTCTTCACCTAGTTGGATATGCCAAGCTACAATCCCAGAATGTTGGGGAAGCTTCTCTTGTGATCCTTTGGACTCTATCCGAGGACTTCTTCTCAGAAGAAATCCCAGGTCACCCGTGAATTTCCTCCTCTGTAAACCTGAAATCCAAATTCAAGAGGATACCCTCGTCCCTTGATGCCCTAAACCACCTCTTCTTCTCAATCTCACTCTTTTCTCATTCTTGAAGTTCATAAGGCTTTCGTCTTTCGTAAAAGTTCTCCCTTTCACCTTCATTGCCTCTTTTTCTTCTTAGAACCCTCTACGGTTTCTCTCAAGTTGCCCCCTCTGTCTGATGTCCTTGGCTTTTATAGGCAAGGCATGGTTTACTAACGAAGCTTCCCCTGCTTTCCTCTTCCTTCTTGGCCTCAGTGGAGCGCAGAAGACGTCGAGCTTCGAGACTTCTTCCTCAACCTGGTCAATTCCCTCTCTTCTTTTCGATCGCTGCACATCTTCTTTCTTTGGTTTCGATAATTTACGGTCAGAGCCTCAACCTTATACCTTGCCGCTGTCTACCTCCAGCTCCTTCCTCGTGCAGCATACGTTCACCAAAATCATGCTTGGTTCAAACCATGCTATCTCCTGCTTGCCTCTCTTCCTTCTTTGGTGCAAAAGGTTCATGTGAAGAGACCACGGAACCCAGCTTCTCTTTGACAGTGCGGATACGAGCCTCCTAGTAGGGAAGCTTGTCACCACCAAGCTTCAAGAGAAGCATTCCCCTTCCAATGAAACGATGGCGTTTCACCGAGGGATCCTTCTTCCTTTCTTTGTCTAAAACAAAAAGGCATTAGGCCTTCGGGCCGGATTTTAGAGGTTTCGCGATGGGCGTTTTGAGCAAGTAGGAATTGCATGGGTTTGGTTGGGTTTAAGAGTTTAAAAGGGCTAACGGGGTGGGTTGGGGTTTTAAATGGTTATAATTTTTTATTTTCCTTTTTTGTTTTTCTTTCTTATTTATCTTTTAATCTATCTTTTTTGAAATTTTTTATCTCACGGTTTGCTCTTTATAAATTCTGTATTTGCTTAGATATAATAATGATAATGTGTTTTGTTGTAATCTTGATTTCCACTAGGAGTCCATGATCCCCTTTCTCATGCAATAATTTGGAAGGAGAAGATCCAGAAACGTATTTCAAATTTGATTTACATCATAATCTGTTGTTATGACACCAAAATACGAATCTTTTATGTATACACACATACGCTGACAATTTGAAGTAGACATCATGCCATGTGTTTTCTATACAAATATTTCACCCCACAAGATTGACTAGTCCCACATGGTTGTCATATTTTTATTTATTTTTTTAATGAACTAAATATAATTCCACCATCATGTGCATGTTTATAATATACCCAATTTTTTTATTTATTTGTTCTCTAAATTACAAATATTAGCATGTTCTCTCTATTATAATCCTTAAATCTGGAAATTTAATTATAAAAAAATTAAAAAAAAAAAAAAAAAAAAAGGTAATTAAGTGAGACTAACAAATTGTTTGAAGAAACTTACCATGTCTCATGTTGGTAAATAAAATCTCACCAAAGCTGCTGTTGCTTAAGAAATTTCCAGCCTACATTATGAATTCTTCAAAATATTTGAATTGTGACCTCATGCTTTTGATGGGTCAGAGAAAAGGAGAAAGAAAATTCACTTCATTCATAAATTAGTTTTCACGATTTTAAGAATAAAATTGCTTGATGTTGGCTAACCATGTTTCCAAATGATCCAACCATAATCATATTTCTTTACAATAAAACTGCTACGAACTTTTATATAATATACCAAGTCAAATGAAGAACTGTTTTCCATTGTAATTTAGAAAAATAATAATTATATCACCTTCATATATGTATATATTTATGTATGCAATCCCGTCAACTGCAATTGTTGGATAAAAATACAGAGACGGGCACATTCATATAGTGTTTTCTCTTTTTCATTAGGCATTGTAATAATAAAGATATATTCATATAATTAGAATACATTTATATATTTACAAAAATTAGTGGCATCAACACTTTTTTCTCCGTAAGAAAATTTTGAAAAAAAAAAAATTATATATGTGTACGTATCATCGCCAATACCGAGTTTGCTGCCTGCGCAGAGAATGAGCCCATGCGGCGATCCTCATTTGCACCTTTTCAAAATCCGAGACCCGACAAGGAATCATAATCCTTCCCGGTTGATTGAACCCGTAAACCCGCTCCGCTTCCTTCAACAGCTCCCCAAACAGCGGGTGATTGAAGTATATAACAGGCACCAGCACCCTCCTCGTGTCATCATTTGATTCGCCCACGTATACAGCCAGATGCCCCTTGGGCACCACCACTGTCTTTCTGTTCTGACCCAGACGGATGAGTCCTGGATCCGATTTTGGAATGCACAATCTCTTAGCTCCACGGCGCAGATGGCGAGCGAAAGAGCAGATTTTGGAAACTGGGTTATACTTCCGGCTGAGGAGGTAGCAGTTGGGTTGTTTTCTTCGAGATCGAGTTAACCATTTGAAGAACCTGACTAGCTTTCTCCCCAGTCTGAAACCTCTGAGTCTTTTCATGGTTGTTTTAAAGATGGGTGCAACAAGAAGGGATTACAGAGAGTTCTTTTATAGGGGGGTCACTCCGAAACACCAAGTCAGTGAATATATAAATATATGACATATAATGTATGTGTATGTTTTCAGATAATACAAGTAGAGTAGGATATACGGTCGGCAGGAGAAGGCTTGTACAGCGTGGGGAAAATAAATAATACTCTGTTTCTTATAGAGAAAATTATATTTTACTCAATTCAATTGAATATTTTTTGTTTGAAATAATGATAATCGTGATTTTACAGGAGAAACAAAAATATTCCTTTCCTTATTACATTTTTTTTTTTTTTTTTTCTTAATGGTGTTTTTATAAAATTATAATGTTGTGATAGATACACGGTAATGAGTTAATGAACATGCACAAGGAGGCAACATGTGGAGTTGATAATGAAAGAAATATTTACTAGATTAGTATATAATTGGAATATTATCTTGTTAAAGTAGTTTTTTTTAATTTCTTGTAATAATAATAAGTAGTCACTCTGCATCAATTTATTTATTTTTTTTTTTTAAATTAGCTTTTTTAGACATCATAGTAGAAAAATTATTTATTTATTTAATTAAAATATAAAATACGACCATATACTAAATATATAATTAGCACTAATATTTTTCTATATAAAAACTAATTGTGCATTTATAACTGTATAAATATTTATCTCATTATTTTTAATTATATCCAAATGTAATATTAATTTGAACCATTGGAGGATATGGAACAATAACAACTCCTTGAAATTTGAATGGACGTAAATAGACGAGCACTTGATCCGTTTCAAATATTAAATTAATAATGTGATAATTTAATTTTGATAAGAGTGAGAAACTGCGACTTTTGGGCTGCGCCTGATTAGGTGGAAGTCACTGATAGTTGTTACACAATAATTATTTACAAATTGTACTTTAATTGTACTTTGAATTTCTTTTTTTTTTCTTTTCTTTTTTTTTTTTTTTTGTGGGCGTAAATTAAAAATATTACTTCACGTTTCTTATTTAGACAGTGACCACCCATTTAAGTCAAAAATTATTAAAACAATGACGATTCAAATATATTGAAATTTATGATTTAAAAACCAGAATTAAGAAAGATTAAGAAATAAGTTACAGGTGTATGTAATATGATTTGAATTATTAGATCAAAAGAAAAGTCTAAGATTAAAAAATTGAAGTCAGAAAAATGGAAACTGAAATTTCATATTCAACTTTTGATGGGTTTGGAATAGAGGACCACCACATTAGAAACTAATCCCATCACGGTTTTTGGTGCATCAACAAGAACCACAAGAGTGTCCTTTCTTTTGGTAAAAGGCAAAAATATTTTGGTCTCCAATAAGACCTTTGGTAATTGGTATTGCTGAATATACATATATATATACATATAATTTTCTTAATTTGGTTAATATTCCAAAACATAATCAAGATAAAACATAAAGACATTTCATTGCAAATTACGAAGCACCATTTATTCAATTTAGGGATTTTTTTATGAGTTAACCCTAGCCATGTGGATGTCAACAAAAACAGAAGATAGTTGGATCAAATGGCAAAGAAACCCAAAAGTCATAAGTAAATTGCTTATGTTTTTCAATTTGGGAAACTACTATCCAATGAATCCTTCATATTGAGAGCCATGGAAACACGGAACTTGTTGAAAAAAATATGTGACATGCACAATTATATGAATTTAAGGAAAATTACTTCTTATTATTTCATATTTTATAATTTAAATTATGTATTTATAGTGATATTGTAACAACTCAAAAAAATGAGGGGTCAAAACGACGTTATTTTGAAAAACTCCAGAACGACGTCGTTTTAAAAAAAAAAAAAAAAAAAGATCAAAGATGTGTTTGCCTCTGGCCGAAAAAAATAAAGAGGCAGAGGTGTGTATGTCTCTACCACCGACCAAAAAAGAAGAAGAGGGGACCTGCATGCCGAGGAAGAAGGGTCGTGTAGGACTCCTCTCACTTCTCCCTATAAAAAGTGAGTTACGCGAAAAGAGAGAAGGAGATCGGTGTAGGAAGAGAGAGAGAGAAAGAAAGAAATAGAAAGAGAGAGGCTGCAGTTACCACCGGCAACCGAGAGAGGAGAGGAAGAATAAGAAGAAGAAGAATAAGAAGAATGAGAAGGAGAAGCTGGTGCTACGCGCGATACTGGGACCAGAGAAGAAGAAACCCACGGTGGCGGCCAAGTGTGAATTTGCATTCCCGAGTGTGCTTTGATGTGGTACCACTAGATCTGTGTCGGATTTGAGGGCGCGAAGTATTTTACAGTGAATTTCAACCAATCCACAACGGAGAGCGATGGCGAGTGGGGGCGGTATGTGGTGGTCTGATGGCGGCTTGTGTGGAGGCGCACAGACTTTCGATGGTTATGCACAGTGAGTCTTAGGGACCCAGTTTTGGTAGGTGAGTTTAAAAACCCTGATGGTTTAGTGTTTTAGATTTAAGGTTAATTAATCCTATTTAATTTTAACGCAACGAATTATTTATCCAGTTTAAAATTAGAAATAAGTCTAAACACGAGTGTTTAAAATTAGGAGATAGTCAATTCATTACTAACCCGATGCAGATATCACTATAACAGGTTGATCTTGTATCTTAGAGATAATTTCACGAAAAAGATTTAGACAGAAATGAGGTAAGTGCGTAAGTGCTTATAAATATAGTTTAATCTTTATAAGATATCAAAACTATGATATTTAATAATTGACAATTTATTAATAAGAATAGAATTCCGACAGAATTTTATTATTAAATTTTTATTCTTATTTACGTTTATTATTGAAACTGCTGATGAATTGTTCTGCTATGTTTTGTAACTGAATTCGTATATGTACTGGTTGCTATATAATTGGGAGTATATTAAGGATATGTAAAAGAGTTTATGATGATAAATAGTTACAGTACGTGTGTTAGGTATATAATATATTAAATAATAAAATTAGAAAATTTATTAATAAGTTGAAATAAATAAATAGATATTAAAAGATTTAAAAAACTCATTTAACTGGTATCACCGAGGGGTGGGTGTGTGTAGTTTTTTGGCGTGTGACTGTGGTGAACTCTAACTGTGGATAAGGTTTTAGCCAGACGTGACAAAACAATAAAAATTGTGAACTTTATATTGTGTACTGCAAACTGTGAATTAGGAATTGAATTATGACATATTCACGTGGTAGAAAGGATTGTTATTCCTCTCGTTGATACCAGTGAAAATGGCATCGCGTGATAAAATTATTTTTAATAAGATATAAACCAATATGAATGAATAAGAAGTCATGAGTAAAGTTCACGATATTGAAACACTAAACTGATATCTACTGAACTATTTACTGCTTAAATTGTGATATTGAATACTGAATTATATTATTTATTGAACTGTTTATATTATGAATTATGATACTAAAATAAGAAATTTTGAATAAACTGATTTAGATGATTTGATGATTCAATTAGGGGTGTAGATACAACGTGTTTTCTTAATTAAAGATAAAAGTATTTTGAGCTATCTCCGTAGGTAGTTTTATTTTTTCTACCAACTTGGATATATTATCCCATTATTTGTTGGTAGTTACATGCTTAC